TATACATACATATGTGTGTGTGCATTTATACATAAATTGGTGTGTGTGTGTATTTATACACAAATAGGTGTGTGTGTGTGTGTATACATGTATAGGTGTATGTGTGTGTATTCATACACTTATGGGTGTATGTTTATTCATATATAGGTGTGTGTGTGTTTTTTATATATATATAAGTGTATATGTGTATTTATACATATATGGGTGTATGTTTGTGTATTCATACATATATAGGTGTGTGTATTTATACATATATGGGTGGCTGTGTGTATTTATACATATATAGGTGTGTGTGTATATTTATACATATATGTGCATATATATTTATACATATACATATGTGTGTGTATATATTTATACGTACATGTGTGTGTGCTTATATGTATATGTGGTAAGCAAAGATTGGTTATGTTTTTGTCTTAGATTTATGGCCATCAGTCCCTCGGTGTTCTTGTGTTGTATCCTATTTGCGTGTATGTGTGATTTTTTTTCTATTATTTTTATACTTTTATGAATGATTTTTTCTTGTTCATGTGAGTTTTATGTGTGTGTTTTTGTGATTGATAAGGTAATATGGATCAAAGACAGTGCTTCCCAACTGGAGTGTCATTCCTTTGTCTGAATCATGTCTTTCTGATTCAAATCAAATATTAGAAGTTCAGAAAAAAATGCTTTTAACATGTTCTTGATGTGGAATTGTATAACATTGTTGAACTTCTTTAGTCCTTGCTGAATATATATGGTGCATGCTTGAATTTTGCTCACTATTCTATGAAAGCATGACCATACTGATTGGTTTATAATGCGGAAAGATGAATTAGGAACAGTGGAACTGGTAATTCTGTAACACTGCCACTGTTTATAATAAAAGGGTGTCAGAGTGGCTTACAGAAAACTTTTCCGTCTCCTTCAACATATTTGTCATAAAACACAGCTTAATGGGAATGGGAAGGATATGACACTAAGACTTTCAGAGTTGGAAAAGGAACCTTTATCATCACTGTCTCCTGGGAAAGGAAGCATGCAGTGAGAAAAGTTAGGAAGCTATGCTATTGCAGTAGTATGACAATAAAAGATTGTATACACTATTTATGTTACCTCAGAACTAGAATGTAAGATGTAAGCATGGTGATGTGTCCATAAGTCTCTTTGTTATTTTTTGGTGTTTTGAGACTGTGTTTAGAATATGTTTTGAAGCAGTTTAGCATCTGTTTGCTTTTTGGTTATGTTCAATTCTGATTTTTCTAATTCTGGGTTTAGTCCTTTTTCATCCTTATCTTCATCATGGTTTTCTTCCTCTTATTTGTTATTAGTTTTGTGTAATTTTTACATTTATCTTAACACAATGTCTTGACCTTTACCAGAACAAAACATACTGGAAGTAATAATAACTTATACTGCACATATTCATAATTCACTTACTTTGGTTAACAGGATTTTTAATATTCAAAACAGAAAAATTCACAGGAGTTTAAGGACGTTGTAGAAATTTATGGGACATCTGAATGTCATTTAGAGTACATTGGATGTCGTTGAAAAGTATGTTAGGGACTTTGTGTTTAGTCATACTTTCAGTACCACAATTGTTAACCATTTCTGCCTCTTACCACATCTTGCTTATATTATTTTTATTGGTTAAAGGATGTAATAGATAGCATATTTCAGAATCAAAACATGCCTGCATTTTAAACTGTCAAACCAGTAATGTAAATTCTTGGGAAAATTTAAACAGAACATTGAATATAAGTAGAAAAGTTATTATTTTTTTATGATAATGCCCAGAGTTCTCTTTATATCAATTAAGAATCAAATAACCAAACCAGATTTCCAGGCTCTATTTGTACTGATAATTAAAGGCTCTAAGAAAATTCATGAGGTTTTAATGTCCAATATTCCGAGCCAAAACATATTCATTTCAACCAGCATTGATATTTATCTGACTGTATCTGTTTAGCTGTCAGTATCTTTTTGTCAGTCTGGAAGGAGTTAAAGCACCTGCTGAGGCAGAAGCAATGCAAATGTCCATACATGTCAGTCAGCCTCAGGTTAGATTTAGACAGAATACACAGGAGAATGGATATTTGTGGTAGAGAAAAGAAGTATTCATTTTCTGAGAGAGTTTTATTAGAGTGAATAAATTATATTTGATTGAATATGCTCTATAGAATGCGAGATTATGGACTAGATATGGAAATCCATTACCATGTTTGTTTATATTTTCTCTACTTCATTTTTTTCAGAAAAGCAGTAACTAATATATATTGATCTTCTATTCACATTTCTTTTTACACACTTTTATCATTTTTTTCAGTTTTGGAGTATGATAGTGGTGAAAGTACTAATAAATTGATGATTTTAATGTAATTTCATAGATATAGTATGTCTGGTCTCTAAAACAACAAGGCAAGATTAATTTCTTTTTCTGTAGACTGGTCGACCAGCTAGTGTCACCAGCACAGAGATGGAGGAAATGGAAGGGGAGTATAATGTTGATGCAAAGGTAGTGTACTGGTCATGATTTTTTTTTCTAAACTATGGCTTGCCAAAACTGCTAGTATGATGTGAAAAGCCTTTGTACTTCTACACTTGTTTTACTGTTTTCATCTTCAAGCTGAATGTACCGTAATGTTGCTGAGAATCAAAGCTGTTTTGTGCTTGCTTATATGTCACTCTTGTTGAACAGTTGCTTGTGTTGTATTACAGTTTTAGAAAATTAGACACTATATTACATTTTTTAACTATGTAATCTTTCAAGGTTCAGGAGGTACTATTATGAACATGATATATGGTGACAGTCATTTAGATGCATAAGAAAAATATGAACATCAGCTGAAACACCATCAATAATCAATCATTAAAAAAATAAGTTGAAGTAAAAGTAATATCACAGAATACCTAAATTCAAAGAAAATGTCACCAAAACTTAGATTTGACATGTATGCTCTTCACAAACCTCAACAGAGACACCTCTGTTGTCATTGACAGTACAAACTTTTTTTAAGCCTTGCATAAGTAACTCAGATGTTTGCAATAAATGAATCTTCCTAGGTGGGTGCATTGATATCTTAAATCTATCTCTTTACAGCTTGTTTTGAAATTATATGAATTTTCTTTTCTCACATAGTCCATGAAAGTTTGTTCTTTTAGTTGCTTTTTGTGATCAAGATTTCTATAGCAGTAAATGCTTTTTGGTTATGAATATATTTTTTTCTTTCTGTTTTTTTATTATTCTCTCTCTGATATTATGCTCACTCTTATTTCTGTGCTTTGAAATATTTAATCAAGAACTATTTTGAAATGTAAAAGTGAATGGTATCAGTAAGATTACTTTGTTTACAGCATTTCTGATTAGACTTTATAGATATGCTCTATAATACTGTGTCACATGATATTGAAAAAAGAATAAGTAAATACTATAACTGACACTGTAATAGTAAAGTTCCTGTTTACATGAGTGGAAATTGTTGTTAAACCTTTCCTCCTTTATTAACACTAACTGATAGAAATGTTATCAGAAGAAAAATGTGTAAGCTAGCTGGTGATGGTATTTCCATTAGCTGGTTACATTAGTTATCCAAAATCTATTAACTGCTCATTGCTTTTGGGACTGAGACTAATAAATCACTAACCATAGGTGTAGGAAGGTATTTTGAAGTAGGGGGGGAGCAAAGTAGGCTTCCACAAAAAATAGCTGGGGGTCCTGCCCCTGGCAGTCCCTGGATTTTAGCAGTTTTGATGAGGAAAATTCATTGATTTTTGTACCAAAATCTCTTGACATTTTTATTTAGATGATACTTTGATGTGATGGTTATTTCATTTTGAACACCAGACTCAGTTGTAGCTGCCCTCTCAATTGAAGGGAGTCATTGTTCCCAGCAATTGGGTAATGTGCACTGTTTGTTTGTTTACAGAGAATGCCCTCGAAAGTTGAGGAGTGGGAGGGCAGAAGTTAGGTCCCACCCATTCATTTCTAGAGTTGGGGGTGGTTGCCCCCCCCCCCCTATTCGTGCACCTATGCTAATGTCTTCATAATCTTCCTGTGTAGCATGTGTTTCCTCAAACCAGCCAAGTGGCATCCCATTCAACCTTTTATACATATGTTATGATACAAAAATCTGCTGCCATTATTTTAATGCTGAAGGGAGAACACAGAAGTAGCATAAAATATGTCATAAATAAGAAGAATAGTTCATGAGAACCCACACTTTGCCAGACAAAACCCATCTGATCTTGGGGTTTAATAGCCCCACTAGGCTAGTGAAAGTATTGATTCAGCTGTAGATGCCCTTTAGTATTTTGTCAACTATTTAGATGGTATATTAAAGATGATGTACAACTGTGACTTCAGTATTTTTCCACTCACTTGTTAAGTTTTATTAGTGTGGACAGTTTCTTGTATTGCAATGAGCTAGGTAATATAATATATCTTTAAAAACTAGGTAATATAGTATATCCCAACATGTAAAGGATTCATGCTGAATAAGTTACAAACAAAGCACTAAAGGGAAGAATAGGAAAGCACACAATTATGCCAAAGTCTTAATCAAAAGCCAACCTATTCTTCCCATTATTGTCAGACTACATTTTTCAACATTTAATTATGTAATTGTTTAACACAAAGCACTACTATTACATGCATTGTCCTTTCAGACATTGTGCTAGATCAGTATTGGAAGTACAGTGAAGGGAAATGTGGTAAATTTTAAAGAATGCTTTTAGACATTGATGTTAATTAAATTCCTTAACTGTAAGATACAAAAGAAAGAGATGCACATTATCTTTGGAGGGTATCATAGGTTCAGCAAATCTATAGAAAATGAAATTGAGAAATTATCATTAGAAATCTTCCTGAATCAATGACCCTTCCAAGTAGATACTCAGAAGGTTGTTCCTGGTCAATCTGGTATCATGCATCCTGACAGGTTTGGACCAAGGTAATCTCCAGGTTACTGCCATGAAACATATGGAGACATTTTCATATACAAGGGGTTAAAAGTGCTTTAACACATCACCAGAATTGTTATCTTTTAGAAGATATGATTCAAATTAGTTTGTTTGGCCATATCTGCTGCAAGGTCAATTCATCAGGGTATGTCTACTTTCTCATTTAACATTTACTGTAAACTAACTAATTTTTAGAAATATCACAAGTTTATCCTTTTTGACAAAGACTGCAACAATAATAATAACAGTCGTGAAAGTATTACTTATGATTGTGATGATAGTGATAGTTGCTTATCATGCTGCTGGCTACCCTCTAAGTTAGGCCTATGCAGGCAAGTGCAACAACTGAGTACTTCTGTGGGTAAACAGGGATATGTGGGATGTATGCTGTTTCCATAACTTCCATTAAAAAAAAAATAGGTATCCAAAATTGGAATGTCGTCCACCTTTTCCAGCAAAGGACATTCTAGAACATTATCCTTGTAGATGATAAGCAGATTTTTTACCTAATTAAGAAGTAAGTACTGGGGCAATCTTGCCATTAAGGATAACATTGGAAATATCAGGGTATAGATTTTGCCATAGGTTGTGTACAAATGTAATATCTACAGTCGCTTTGGCTGTGGACAGCAAGTTTCAAAGATCATTTCACATATATTAATTTACCACAATAATCAAAATTTACTTTAAGCACTCTCTGGTCCTTTGTCACTTAAAGCCAAGATCACAAAACCCACAACCAACATTGTTTCAGTGTTTCATTCTTTAATCCAATTGTTTATTCAGAATATATGTAATATAGAAATGTTTTTCATTGAAATTTATTTTGCTCTCTTGGTTTTCTGTTAGTCTTGCAAATTGATAGCTCTTTTCTCCCCAAAACATTCTCATAATGAACTTGTAGATAATTTATAAATAATTTATAGACAGTCCATCATTATTAAGAATAAAGATGAAGACTTCTTGGAAATTTTGTATAGATTAGATTCAAATTGTAAGTGCAATAGAAATTCTAATGCCCAGAAAGACGACAGTGGGGAGGAGACCAAAATGATATAGTTTATCTCATTGGTGATGGGTGATGTGTCACAAAAGGGTGGATATTTCCAGATACTGGGTGATGCCCCATCCTGTCCATGTCCTGATTATCCTCACCAGACATTATTGAAATAATGAAAACTTGTCATTGTTGGGCTAATGAACTGTTTTTTGTTATCACATAGGTGTATAAATGATACTATTAGGTTTATATATCAAAATATTGTTATTTAGCAGAGATGCAAAAGAATCAGATTATGGATAGGTGGGACTTACAGTATGGTTTTCCATTATGGTCTTGATGATAGCTGAGATGCAACATCTAAATATATTCTTTATTTTATAAAAAAAGATGAAGACACTGTTCTGCTGAATTAGTTAACACATATTCCTTATCTTTTATTTTATAAATAAGGAGTTGCTTTTTATTCATGTTTGCATTATTAGTCTTAGTATGAGGTATTAGTGTATGTTGTTACTAGGTCTTAGTAAAATTGTTAGTTAGGTGTATAGAACACAAGTACCAGTGCTGTAATCATTATCCAGAGCCATAATGTGACCACTGTGTATGTCAGTGTTGGAGTTACGCTGTGTTTCCAGAATTTTTAATTGTCCAGTATCTGGCCATTTTTTTTATTCTATAGATAGCTTAAGTAGTGAAAAAATTGCATTTAAAATTGCTTCTAGTGGGAACAATAGGTACAGGAGAATCAAATGTGGTGTGTTATTAATGCATTGACATCTTTCTTTAATGTTAATGGGTATCATATATGCATCAAACTATGAAAGAACCATTATTATAGAGCTTATTACTTAGATTTTTTCCTCTATTTAAAACTAGTCTATTTAAAAATAGTAATTACTCTGCTTAGTGTATGAACTATACATTATAATTTCTCTGTACACTATAAAGGCCTATACACATACCTTCACATTGAACTAAATGTATCTTCTTTAGATGGATAAACCATGTTTGCTGAATACATAGTTACTGTACTTTAATTATTCACTCTATCATTTATCACTTCAAAAATCATTGTAATATGTCAATAACCTTATGTTGTAGATGTAACCTTGTAGATTTGAGATCATGTGTTCATAGTTCACAAGACAAAGTCAGTTTGGTTTGGAAGCTCTTAAGCTATTAAAAATTTGCTCTTAATGTTTTCCATTTTGTTTTTCTCAGCATATTAATGTAGCCTAGCAATGAAAAAATTACTTAATGCAGTCATAAAGATGGTAAAGATATAACTGACCTAATGGAGATCCTAAGAGTTTTGGATATTACGTAGTCATAATCATTTGCGAGGAATGTATAAAAAAAATTGCTTAATATTGTCTAATTGTGCATATTGTACCGTAATTGATTGGGCTAATGAATCAAAATTGTCTCTAATATCATTAAATATTTCATTGACTGTATCAGAAATGCTGAAAGCTATCTTGTTTTGTGTCTCTGTATAGATATCATTTTGATAACACGAAAACATTGTAAAATATTTAGATATCCTATGGCCA